AATTTCTGATGGCATATAAAGATAAAAAAAATATATATTTTATCTTTGACAGCCAACCATGTCGGGCGTAAGAAGAGCTTTTAAATAAGACATTGACATTCTCAAATGAAATAAAACAAGAACATAATTTTTCATTTCTTTGTTGCAAATTTATTTGAATTGGCACACTAGAATGCTAGATTTTCTTATTTAAGTAATTAATCTCTGTTGGCAATATAAAAGTTGTTTTATCCCTAAAGAGTAAAGACTATTTATGTTCGTTTGAGTTGATAGGGTTTTTTTTTTTTTTTTGAGGAATACATACTCGTGGTTATAATTTATAAATGCTCCTTTTATTTACGAGAAAAAAAAAACGATATGAATTTGTCATTGAGATACTTCATTGCCTTCAAACGCTACATGTAAATCTACGTTTTTTAGTAGCATTAAAATCGCCGAGAAAGAATAATGAACCTAAATTTCTGTTTTCTTTATCGAAAGTATAGTTCATTGGAATAGATCTATCATACTTTTTTCTTGTAGATTAATAATACATAGACATATGTCACATATATATATATATATGTGTGTGTAAAGTATCGATAATGTGTAAGACGAGATGTACTCAATGCATATCCAAAAGCTGCATTCTTTTGGGACAACAACAAAAAAAAGTGCCGAAAATCAATCTTTGTTGCTCCTTTTCGTCCAGGATATTCAATTTTCCCGGCAACCCATAAAGCACATTTGCCAGGAAAATATAGTAAAGATTTGTGAAAGAACTTACCAAGAAATGAGGAAAGGCTCTTTCAAGTAATTGAAAACACTGATAATGATATTATCATTTGTGATTGCGTCAATGTGAGGTCCAGGAAACTGCCCATTTATCAATATCCCCTGCATTCAACAAAACCCAACCGAGAAAAATGTTAACACTAGATTCTCTCAGGAAAACAGCCAGAGAAAATGTGGGAAAACAAAAGTAGTTAGATACCTGTTGTTTAACACCGAGGGGATAAATGTTGCCATAAGTTATTTTCCAGGTGAAGAATCTATAAGGGTTATCTCCAAATACACCATTGATTAGAACCAGAAGAAGGACTATAGAGACTTTGCAAGAATCTCTCATTTTTGTTTCTCTCTTCTGGTTTGGGTTATTGATATGAGTCTGAGACTGTGAATAGGGGTAGATCCATATACAGAGGATTTTGGAGAATTTATTAAAGATGCTCTCTTAAATATGAGTGGCAGTGGCACCGAACGTAATTAATATATTTTGGTATTGTAGAAGTATTTTTATTTTAGAAAGGTAACTTAAACTCTTCGAATGTTATCAAATTGATTTGCATTATTAACAATTTATTTGAACTTAAATGGATAACGAATTCAAAATAAGAGACTTTTTAATAAGTTAACATCAGTTTGTGATATTTTTTCCACTGTACGAAATTTCGTAAAAGAAAAAAAACAATAAGTTGCATTTTTAGTCCATCAACAAACATTTGCTTAAAAGCTTGACTTGATTAGATTCAGCAAGCTAGTATTACCAATTCGGTGTTCAAACAGTTTGGCTTACAAATTCTGTCATAATAATAGTTAGTTACATTACATGCACCCCATTAGAAAATATTAATTTTGTCATAAGATTCTCTGCCTTTTTCCTCTTTTAGATCACACACATCTAAATTTAATTTTTTTTTATACAATGTTAAAGCTTTTTTGGGTCAAGAGTACATCATCGACTATCGCTCCGTATTGTCCGCAAGCGAAGTGTTTTTGAAACGCGGCGTGTGAGCTGTCAGGAGGTAGAAATCACGTGTGTCCATAAAATCTTGTAATGGTAATAATTGGTCGTTGGATTAAAGTAATTGCTGAAGTCAATGATATATAGACGGTGGGGATTACAGATCTGATTTATGAGTGAGGTGAGGGTGTACGGTGGATATGAAGCGGAAGCTACAAGTTCTGCGCTTTCACGTGCTTGAGACCATTCTGCACCATAAGCAAAGATTGAAGAAATATACAGAAAAAACAATACTGTAATTTGAAATAATACATGTTTATATATAATCATAATGGAAACAAACGAGTTTATGTATGTGTGTACGTACTACAGGGGCCATGTTATACAATGATAGATATATAATATATTCGACAAAAAAGTCTGGCTATGTCACCACCGAGTTCCGAGATTTTCGGTTGAAGGAAGTCCTTTGAACATTTTGTAATTTATTTTTTACTATAGCCGTCAAGCGTAGTTATAATTATTCGTAACTATGAAATTGTGGGTTTTTTTTTATTATAGTTTTCTAGTTTCAGGATCAATTCTTTATATTTATTTCTGATCGATCTTTGTCAAGAAAAAAAAAAATCCATTTCTACATCCCAAGGCAGTTCCCAAATGATGAAAAAAATCGACTGCGACTCTGTGACCACTACTAAATAGTTTGCTATCCCATCGGCTTTGATCATTCACGACTTTATTAATTGATTATTAAGTTTTTTTGAAATTAAAAAAAAAATACAAAGAAATTTACATTCTCTGGAGCTTATAACTTATAACCATCATTTTTAAAATTACCAAAGGCGTGTTTTAACTCTATAAGATATATATAGAATGCATAGAGTAAATTGTCATTAATTAAAACTCAGAAACACAATGGTGTAGTACTTAAGCAAGAATTGATTTCATGACTTGACCATAAGAATGAATTCAGTAACCAGATTTATATATCAGTTTGGTTTTACAGAAACAATTGTTCGTCTACCTGGAGCTTAAGGAAGATTCCTGACGATTGAATGAATACCGCCAAGCATGTTGCACCGCTTAATTGTTACGATGGACTCTTTGTTACTTACTTTACCAAAAATATGTAATAAACCATATGCACTTACTTACTTTACCAATACTATGTAGTAAATTAACCATATCCAATTTTAAATCTCATCTAACGCTACAAAAGTATTCAATCATATATGGCTAGGGCAGCGATGCATGGAGTTTATAATGTACACGTCAGCTGAAGTGTCAATGAACTTCCAAATTTGATGAAACTATAGAACAAGTTTCACGTGTTCTAGTACCAATCTGCACCATGAGCAAAAATTGAAGAAAAAGACAGACAACAAAACACTCTGAAATAGTATGTGTGAATGTAAATGTGGTCATGTTATGCAATCATGGGTTCATTCTACCTAAAAGTCCGGTTATGTCATCAGCGAGTTCCGATGATTTCGCTAAATTGGAGTCCGTTAAAGTTTTTATAATTTCTTGATTTATTAGCTTCGTTCTAAATTGTATTCATCTATAAAAAATTGATTTAATTTTTTTATTAACACTGATCTCCCCATCAAATCTGACTAATCCAAATATGAGCAGATTTTTTTTTTAAATATATATATATAAATAGATTTCATGGCAGGAGTTTTCCGCAAAATCCAATCGGATGGAACACTGTCGAGTTAAAAACCGGGTTTTCGATAGCGTACAAGAAAAAATTCCAATGAATGAAACAAGTGGATTTAAACTAGAATTTGGGCTTTACAGGGTTACGTGGAGGTAGGTTCCTCACAATTGAATGAATATTAATATACGTACTGCCATGAACCGCTTTATTATTACTACGGAATCGACGGTCTCTTTGTTACCAATAATGTGTAGTAAACTAAATGCAAAATTCAGGTCTCATTAAATGCTATTTCATTACGTGTTTTTTGTCTTCGTTTTCAGCATCATGCATTCAAATAGAATAATACTCTATTTACTAATTTTTTAAAAATATTTGTTCATATCGTTTATGATATAGTAGCTTTGATTTGCATTACTACACATGCAAAATGGGAAAAAAATATACACTTTGAATTATCTGAAACCTCGTGGAGTAGGTTGATTCATTTGATTCTTGATCATTAATTTTGCAGAATTTTATGGAATTATTAAGCAAACCCGCGATCTAATGGGTTTTCTTTCTTGTTCTTGGGCACTTGCCCTTACTATTAGGCCCTAGGCCTGTGTAAACCTTTTTATTCTCCTGCATTTAAATTGAAAGCTTTTTAGCAAAAAAAACAAAAAACCCGCGATCTAACCTCCAAAAAGGAAAATTGATAAAAACATGTAAACACGAATGAACAAAACGTTCATTTGGAGTGGGCCAATTGACAATCTAGTGGATCGGATCACTATTCGCTATGTGGCCATAAGACAGTAGTAATGCTTCAGTAGCCCAAATTCCATATCTTTATATCTTTAGTATGCAATACAATTGTTTTGTTAGAAAGCAAAATAAACATGTGTTAGTTTAATTTCTCACATGCATTAGAAGGCTTAGCTAGGTAGGTGAAGCACGTAGTAGAATACTATTAAGTTGGTGAAAATTTTTCATTATTGTTTATGGATGAAATGAGCTCTATTGTACACCTATACGGGTGACCACGAAATCGACATCCAAAAGCATTCAGATCTTTAGTATCTTATTATCATTAGTTTACTATGCTAGTGGTCTTTTAATTGGAAATAAATTTTTATTTAACTTGTTATCATTTGTTTGATCCGCAAATATTACTTTCCTATCTGACGTTTACTTTCCAAATTTATTTAATATAGTACTTTGGGATATGAAAATATAGTTGTAGTCAATACGATATATATATATATATACAAAATGGAGATGTCGATTTTGTTGAGTTAAAAATAAAAAGTTAAGACTTTCAGATTTTCAAAAACCAGAATTGTTACTTTAAATTGAAGAAAAGTTAGTAAGGCTGAAATGTTATTGTGGTACTATAAATTAAACAGAATTATATTCTTAATTCTTATATGACTAGAGCGTATTCAGAACATTTTTCAACAAAAAAAAGGGCATGTATTCAGAACCAAATGAGTCAAGACTGAAGACCATATTTATAAGAAATATATTTTTTTGTTGGTCAAATATTGTATAAGAAAAAAGTAAGTTATAATATAGAAGAAATGCAAATATTTTTTTTATAAATACGATGTTAAAAAATAAATAATCGACGTCAAAAAGTAATAATTACAAAATATTTTGGGGAAAAAAAGAAGAAGGAAATGGGCTACGAAACCCGACGCTAACCCTTGTCTCTGTTTCTTCATCTCCGCCGCCTTCTCACACTCTCGATTGGTTCCTACAATCAAAGCTTCTCCGATCTTCCTCGCGTGGTTTCTTCTTCGAAGTAAGTTTTTCTCATCGTGCTTCTTCGAAGGCTCGTGTCGATCTCAAAGTAGATCGCATTACTAAGGAATTAAGTGAAATAGATGAGCTAAGGTCTACTTGTTCCATTTCTATTGCAGAATCTTTACATAGAATATTCAGGAAGATTTGATCCTATAGACTCTAGATTGGGAATCAAATTTAGATTTTGGTGTTTAGGTAACGGAACCCAGTTTACGGAATCGCTGCGTCGAGTTTGTCAAATCCCTAATTTTGGTTGCTCTGTTAGTAGAGATGGATCCATTTGCATCACATTCCTTCTTAGTAATCAAAGATCACTCTCCAGAGATTGTTTTTAACAACATTTCAATCAATCCGTGCTTAGTTTGTAAGAAATGATGTGTCGATTTCACACTCCCTGTGATGTTCTTCATCACCAAATCACTCTCTGGCTTCAAAGTGTGTTCTTTTATTGCTTCAATTCATCATCATCGTATCATGCCTTCCTTGAATTGATCTTCTCTGCTTTTACTTAACAAAAAATGTGAAACTTTTTAAGGTTGTAAACTAAAGATTCAGACTTTGAGCTTAGAGGTTCTTAACTATGGTTCAGAAGATATTAATTAGATTACATTTTGAGCTATTTGGATTACAATTATCATTGCTGCTCCAAGTTTAGAGGTTCTTGACGCATTGTGTTTCTGGTTTCTCATTCTCTTTGCAAACACTACAGAAGAAGCTATGGCTGGGAAAGCTGCAGAAACAGTGGCAAAGACTGTGACGGGGTTTCAACATCCATGGAGGGCAAAACTCGATAAATACAGAACCGAGCTGACAAAAGGCGTGTGGGGTTACTGGGAGATGGGAGCATGGAAACCATTGGGGATAAGCGCGCGTAGGAGGGCGATGCTGAGGAAAGAAGTTTTGACTGCTGGAGAGGATTGGCCTTACGATCCAGAGAGGAAAGCGATGAGGACGAAGAGGAAAGGGCACAAGTGTGATAGAATTTCAGCTGAGAAAAGGGAGAACACGGCGAAGCTGATGCTGAAGATGCCTCAGATGCTGCTTGATTACAAGAAGAGAAGGTGGGAGAAGAAGATGAAGGAAGAAGAGAAAGCTAAAGAAGACAAGTGATTGATTAGATTGTCACTATAGTGAGTCTCTTGGCTGTGAAACAAAACAATTGGTGTGAGTAGTAATAATCCGGTCGTGAGGATCGGGATTTGATATTCGATAGATGGAGGAGTTGGATCTGAGATATCCTAGTATGTTTCTGGAATTCTTTTCTGTGATGTTTTTTGTTCTCTTTTGTTTTTGTCTTGTTTTTAACTGAAACCAAAACGTTGTTGAGGTGTTGGGATCGGAATTTTTGGATAGAAGCTCAGACTAATCTTGACTGTAATAATTTGTTTATGAATTATGGATACCTGCAATTTCTAGGAAAGTTCTATAGACCAAGAAGTTAAGATGATTAGTGATAGTACAAATGATAAAAATCATTGTTGCAAAAAGAATCTCATATAAATAAGCTATTTAGGCTATTTTAGTAGTATGCACATTTTGGGGTGGGGGGGGGGGGAATTTTGTAAACAAGAATCATGAATAATGTTTAAATTTAGCTCACTTTCAAACTGAAACTATTTTGAATTCACAACAAAACTTTTAGCTTAGTATTTAGCTCACTAATTAAATTAAGCTAAAACTTTTGTTGTGAATTTAAAACTGTTAAATAATTTAGTAATTCTCTTAATCAGGTTTCTAGAATATTTTTTTTCTAGAATAAAATAAAATCTATGAATAGAAACATGAATAACATTGAGCGGAGTTAAAAATAATTTTTTTTGGTATTATCAAATGTGTTGCCTATTTGTTAGAGAAAGGATTTGTTCGGCCAATGTTGACCAGGTTTCTCTACCACACGACCAAAGTGACGCAAGCAATGATATACATAGAGAGAATAAAGAGAAATGCCGCCACCTACAAAAAGGGTGTCCAGATTCAATGAACCTATTTTCACTTGCTTCTTTTATAATCCCCGCATTTCCTCTGAGAGATCTCAAAGAGAAAAACAAAAAAAAATATAAACCTCAGATCATAAAAAAAAAGACTTCGAGAAATTTGTTGTGTGGTGAAATGGCACTAGCGATCAACGTTTCTCTATCTTCTTCTGGGATCTCGAGCTCTAGCTTCCCTTCTTCAGAGCTTAAAGGTAATATATTTATCATCAAATCTCATTTTTAAATCCGGGTTTCTCGAGCAGAATCAGAACTCTGTTTCAATAATTTTAGGGAATGGCTTGATGGATCATTGTGTTTTGAGTAATTAAAAAAAAAAGCGATCAATGATGAAACTGATTCGAATTCGGTTTGCTTAATTCCTTAATTTCAGTATCGCAAATCGGTTCGTTGAGGCTATCGGATCGGATCAATGTCTCTGCGGCGTCTCTGAGTTTTTCCGGGAAGCGATCATCGGTGAAACCTCTAAATGTGCAGTCAATTACAAAGGAATCAATGGTTTCTCAAGCAGCTTCCATGGTTGCCTCTGGTACGTTCTGGTCAATTTTTCCATATTGATCTTGGTTAAAGTAATTAACTTTATGCTAATGTATCTTTTGCATTTTATTACAAAACAGAGGTTACAGAGAAACTAGATGTGGTTGAAGTGGAAGACTTTGAGGAGCTAGCAAAGAGGCTAGAGAATGCTTCACCTCTTGAAATTATGGACAAAGCTCTTGAGAAGTTTGGCAATGACATTGCTATCGCCTTTAGGTAATGAAACCAATGATGTGAATCTGATAAAAGAGAGATAATTTTCAGTTCTTGATGACGTTTTGCTAATTGGGAAATTTGTTGTTTTGTTTGGTTTCAGTGGAGCAGAAGACGTTGCTCTTATTGAGTATGCTCATCTAACTGGAAGACCCTACAGAGTTTTCAGCTTAGACACAGGGAGATTGAATCCAGAAACATACAGACTCTTCGATACAGTGGAGAAACACTACGGTATTCGAATTGAGTACATGTTTCCCGATGCTGTTGAGGTTCAAGCTTTGGTTAGGAACAAGGGTTTGTTCTCTTTCTATGAAGATGGTCACCAAGAGTGTTGCCGTATAAGAAAGGTGAGACCTTTGAGGCGGGCGTTGAAGGGTCTACGCGCTTGGATCACTGGGCAAAGAAAAGATCAATCACCAGGGACAAGATCAGAGATTCCTGTTGTTCAAATTGATCCAGTGTTTGAAGGATTAGATGGTGGAGCTGGTAGTTTGGTGAAGTGGAATCCGGTTGCGAACGTCGAAGGGAACGATGTTTGGAATTTCTTGAGGACCATGGATGTTCCTGTGAACACGCTTCATGCTGCAGGGTATGTTTCCATCGGGTGTGAGCCGTGCACGAGAGCGGTTTTACCAGGTCAACACGAGAGAGAAGGGAGATGGTGGTGGGAAGATGCAAAGGCTAAAGAGTGTGGACTTCACAAAGGGAATATCAAGGAGAATAACAACGGGAACGCAACGGCTAATGTCAATGGGACATCCACAGTTGCGGATATTTTCAAAAGCGAGAATGTTGTGAACTTGAGCAGGCAAGGGATTGAGAATTTGATGAAGTTGGAGAACCGGAAAGAGGCTTGGATCGTTGTTCTTTATGCTCCGTGGTGCCCGTTTTGTCAAGCAATGGAGGCTTCTTTTGATGAATTGGCTGATAAGTTGGCTGGAAATGGCGTGAAGGTCGCTAAGTTTAGAGCTGATGGTGACCAAAAGGAGTTTGCTAAAAGGGATTTGCAGCTCGGAAGCTTCCCAACAATACTTGTGTTCTCAAAGAACTCTTCAAGACCAATCAAGTATCCATCGGAGAAGAGAGATGTCGATTCTTTGACATCCTTCTTGAATCTCGTTCGGTGAGCAGCGAAAATCCGTCGACTTTACGAGGAGAAACAGCCAGTCAATAAACCATTCTTCAGTCTCGTTCCAGAATGCTAGAACAGAATGAAGAATATCATGAGATTCTCTATTGAAGCTCTGATTTTTTGTATAGTTGTGGTTAAAAGTAGTTGCCTTTGTGCTGATATTTTTACCAAAACTTCTCCTTTTGTACTCTTTTTGCTTCTGTGATGATATGAACAAGTTTCCCAACATCGATTACTTTGATATTGAACTGACTCATTATCCCCAAGAACAATGTATTTGAGTAAATTTTCAAATCCCAATTTCAAAAGCAAAAGAAGAAGGTAAAATATAGAGGAAAGGTTTCTGAATATTAAACCCCAAAAGGCAAAGATTCAAACATCAAAGCAAAGGAAAAAGCCAGAGAGAAGGAAGGAATGTACTTCTTATCTTCCTGGTTTATCTATGTACATAAAGAAATCGAAAGATCGATATATTTATTCAAGCAGCGATCAAAGATCCAAAAGTGTTCTCTCCGCTGTAAGTCATGTAGAGGAACCCGTCTTCATCCTTGTGTTCTTCATAGATTGCAGACATCAATGCAGCTGTTCGGAAATAAAAGAGCCAAGTGAGAACGAGCAAAATGAAGAGCATGAAACTTTGATCTTGAATGGTGATCCTTACCAGTTGGAGGCAATGTGTTCTTGACAAAGACAAAGATGGCTTTCTCGGCTCCAAGCTTGATTCTTTTGCGAACCACGTACACAAATTGGCCAACGGTTAGATCTGCTGGCACAAGATACCTAAAGAAAGTAGAAGAACATAAGCATAATCTTCAAGATATGATAACACAGACATTAGAGAGATGGAAAAAGCCATTACTCACTTCTTCTTGTCAATGTCAGGGACATCACTTTGTCCAGCCTTTTCCACAATCACCTACAATATCAGCTACTAAGTTAGAACAATGCTCAGCTAAATTTAGTAAACGACTAAAATGTAAGTTTAATCAAAAGAGGAATTAGTGAGCATACGGGGATTCTGTCAGGGTACTTCTCTCTGATTCGAGAAGCTTCACCCATCCTTGCCTCTGTTTAACAAAATAAAACCAAAAGATCAATCACAAAGTCAAGCATCGAAACAACACAAGAACAAAGCTTCCAATTTGGTCATGTCAGAGATTAATCAGGCTTGGTTTAGCTAATTCGTATTCCTAAAGAGGCAAGAACAAACACAAACAGAGAAATAAACAGCAAACAAAGAATCAGAATCATATTAAGAGGTTGAGTCAGAGCCCATACATAAAACTAATCAAGATTGTGAACTGAAATCAGAACCAGCTTCCGTAATTTTCATCGACAAATATCAGAATCCCAAACGATCTGAAGCAAGTTTTCGCAAGAAAATCACTACTCATATCAGAATCAAACACTCAGAAACTTCTATTCGGTAATCAAAAATTAAGAATCACCGATAAGGGATAATTCTTCGGAAAGTCTATGCAGCTAATAAAAAAAAAGAGGATCAAAGGAACTTACCCAGCGGATTAGAAAGCTTGAAGGAACTCTTAGCCATGGCGATTCGATCGGACTCTGCAAATTTCAAGCACGCAAAGATCATAACTTTGAAATTATAAACACGATCGATGATCAAATTCAACCGTCTGCCAGATCAAGGAAAAACAAAACCCAGAACCCTAGAAACTTGAATTGGGAAGAACAAGAATAAAAAAAAGGACGAAAGAAACATACCCGAAGAAGAAACTGTATGCGATTCGTCGAAAGTAGGGTTTGCCGAGAACAATCAATTTGATGGAAACTGGAAAAGAACCGATAGAAGTCAATATCAAAGGAGGATAAAGAGTATATTTAAATACAACTAAATAAATATAATTGGTAATTGATTTAGGGTTTTCTAAGGGTTGCCTACACGGAACCGTAATGTCCACTGTTGTGGAATCGTTAACCACTTGGCTTAATATTAATAGTTTGATTGGCTTACAAGAAATCTCGTACACCTGTCTTACGTCGGTACCGTCGATTTTATTTTAGAGCTTTGTTCGGCTCAAGTGGGCCTTCTTATTCGGCTTAATATTTTCATTGTGTAAGCTTATGGCCCAATTGTTATCACAAAAAATTATTTCGAAGTAAACAAAAAATTGTAGAATAAAGGTGGTTCGGATTTTGAGTTGGGTTTCGCTCTTAATCAGGTCGGATTTCTTTTTTTTTTTTTTGAAAATATAATCAGGTCGGATTAGGCTAATCGTGATTTTGTAAATGCAAATTTGACGGTTTTCTAAACACAATCACAAGATTATTTTGGTAGGGTGTAATTATAAAACGTTGAATAATTTATGTTATTTTGTCAAAGCAATAAAATTATTTGGAGTGTGTAGTAAAGAAGCAAAAATACTAGACTCTGTTATCAAGAAATAAGCTGTATATGAACTAATTTTTTTGTTTTTTTTTTCGTTTTGTAACAGGGATAGATCTATTAACAAAATCTAGATTAATCCATGTGTAGAAAATTGATATTTTTGCTACTTAAGAGTTAAGATGTCTACAGCGAACAAAAATAATTTTATAGATGGTAAGAATCGTTCTATATATTGCCATATGACGAATCTTCTTCCGCGTTGCTAGTTGTTACTTGCTAGTAAAGCTGACTGAGAATATAAATATATGATCAATGTATTATGCATAGAACCTAACTGAATTTAAAGAAAATTTGGATGAAAACTGAACCAACATAAGTTCATAATCTGATCGGTATTGTTTATATGTTTGAAAAAACTAAACCAAAATCCAACCAAGCTCGAATTCACTACAGCTGGTGGGATAACCTGACTGAATAAACTAAAATTCATTTATAAAAAAAATATTATTTTACTAGTATATCTTGAAATGTATCTTATTATAGTTAAAATCCTTCAAAACAAAACTATTATGTATAAATTATAAATCGATTTTAGCAGCGAACCAAATCCACTATAAATGTATAACGATATGAATTGATTTTCTCAAACAAAACAAAACAAACTTCAGTTCCAATTTGGTAAAAGAACTTCCAAAGTACAAATTAAAAACTACAAACTGAAATAGATAACAGATACGGAGATACCCATCCCCTAGCAACACCATCTCTAGTAACTAGTTGCTAGGACTTCAACAACATTGAAAAGTGAAAGCTAATGAGCAATATGGCACGAGCCCTTAGTCTTATGTCGGACCAAAAATGTTAATATCATCCGAAACATTTCCACTCTTGATCGAGCCCAAAAATGGCGAAGAGATCGAGAGAGGCTCTCAAATTTCTCAACCAAAGGTTCCAAAGGATATGCCAATTTTCTCAAAATTATAATAAAATCTTAAGCTCATTAAACTAAAGAGTTAAAGACCATTGAGAACTACAAATTAAAAACAACATAAGAAAAATGATATGGGTCCCATGCATGGGCTTGACAAGTCATCCTCATCGTCATCATACTTATCTAAAAAAATCCAAAAACCTAACAACAACAAAAAAAAGAAAGAGAACTCAACCATATTGGTAGTGTCATGATTCCCTACATGATGATAACGACAATAACATTGCATATTTAAATAAATCATGTGGATACCATAAAGTTTAGGTTTTAATTCATGATAATGATATGGTATGGTGGTAGTAAAAGGTTTTTTTTGCGATATTGATCTTGCTCCATACCATGACATAACTATGCTGGTGGTGGTGGTGATGTTGATGTGATGTTCGATTCCAAGAAACCTGTTTGGGTTAAGATAGCATTCCTTGTTTTGCTGAGATCTCTTCCTTTGAGTGTTCGTCCGATTCCTTCACACATGGAGAAAGATGAGATCTGTGTTCTTGCGAGCCTTCTTGCTACCAATTCATGGGGAGGAACCATTGCGTCTTCATCATCATCATCATCATGAATGAGCAAATGGCTGCTTCTTGTGTTCTTCTTTGTGTTCCCATAAATCTTGGACCAGTCAGGAACATTCATTGGAGCAGATGACTGTTTTGCCCCGGAGACCTCGTTGCCCTTAGGAATGTACCTCGCAGAAGATGATGAAGAGGCCGAGAAGAGATTGTTACTTTTGGACATTATCATTTCAGGACCTGGAGTTTCTTTTTCTCTCAAAACTGACCACACATCTTCTTCATCAAACTCTTCTACCCCTTCCATTGTCACTCAAGAAAAAACCCTTCTCCTAAATATTGCTTCTTCTGATGCAACTAGGTGCTATTCTTCCTCCTGAATCCATGAAAATACTCCATCACTTTATCCTAAAACCATAAAAAGAAGAAGAGAGAAAGATGAGAGAGAGAGGGAGAGAATTGATTACCTGAGAGACGCAGAGGAAGATTCAGTGAAAATGTGATGTATAAAAATGTGAACCATAAACAACATTAAACAATCTCTCTTTGCTGGCAAATGAGAGACAGAGAGGTCATTGATTGCTTCAAAGGAATCAAAAGCCTCCACAATAGGCAGAGGTTTCATAAAGATCCAAAACTGTATTAATTTCGTACTTTTTTTGGGGTGCCATAACTATGAATTAAATAAAAATAATTAAATAATTAAAAGGGTTAGATATAGAGGAGTGGTAGCTTTTGGTACTATTTCTACTAAGACCTGCCAAAATTATTGATAGAGTCTGATTCATGCTAGAAGACAAAACCCAATGTACTATATATGAAAAGACTTGCTTTATCTCAAACTTTTTCCTAAGCCATATTATACTTTCTAATCTTTTTTTGGCGATATGGATTTTGTTAATAACTTAAGAGGAAAAAGATAAATTGACTTAAAAGGGCTTGTGATATTAACATATTATTATCCTTTTTGAGAATCTTGTTTAATCATTTTTCTTAAAAATGTTATCATCAAATTATAATTATGGGATAAAGAGTTTTGTTTTTCTACGTACGTATAATTATGGGAAAAAGTGTTCGACGAAAGTAATATAGTTTCATTATAATAAAAATAACTTTGTAGTTATCACACACAAAAAAATCTGAATCCCCGTGTCCGTACACACATAAATACATCAGACTTTTTGGTGGGGTAAGAATCAAATCGATTTATAGTTTTTGTTAGACTATCCAATCCAACGCTTCATGGGTCACCTCGCAAGGGATGTTATTCCAAAGAACGATGTAATATAAGCGTAATTTCATTTAAGACCTCTAGTTTCGAAAGGTTTCTTATTCAGCCTCTCAAAGTTTATAGAGAACGAATACGTAACTTAATTGAATGAGTGATGAGTCCAAATTCCAAACTTGAAGGAAAAGAAAAAGAAAAAAAAACTTAAGAACGTCTTTTTTTTTTTTTTTTGAATGTAACTTAAGAACGTCTTGTTCCTTAAGAAACCTACAAATTGCTTCATGTACATTGATGAAAGTGTTGAAACAGTGAAACAAGAACTAAATGTTGAAACTCATTTAGTTTTGCAGATAGGTGAATTTCAGATGAAAATTTAGTTTTAAAAATCAATTAAAAAGAAAAAGAATGATAGTACATAAACGTTTTGAACAAGAAATGTCATACAGTATGTTGAAACATAGGAAAATACTCCTTTTCAATCACGATTAACAACTTTTATGAATCTCTTCTCGATCAACTGCATGTGAAGATCGATGGTTCTAGTCTAAGCCCTTCAAATTCTTTACTCCAATCATATCGCCGACATGATTCTAATGGCCTAGTCAATTTGGGCCTCTCTCTATGGGCTTGTCTCAATCGGGTGAAGTCTTGGCTCTTTATTACATAGGCTAAAAACGTGGAGTTAAAGATGTTTTTGAAGAAGATTGTTTATTTTATTTGTAAGTAATAAAACTATGACGATACATATTGTATGTGGTAGGGTTAGCTGATAATCAAGAGGAAAGCAAGGTTTGTAGTTTTAGACTTTTAGTCTATAAGCGAATCGAGTTTACTCACTAAAATACGTGTATTATTATAATAAAGCTTGGTCTAAAACTCTTTGTAATTAGGAAGATGTCAATGGTCAATATAGAAGTTGTTTTATTGTCGATCGACAGTGTAGTGTGCAAACACCTTTTAATATAAATTGACTAAATTAAAGTTTTTTGAGGTTTGTCGTGACCAAATGTTATAGAATTTTTGTGTGTGCTTTCTATACTGTCTATTCACTCACATCTTCCATAGATTTATCATTTATCCAGTCGATACCACAATAGATACAACTTCATTTATCCCTATGCAATTTTCTTAAGAGAAAGAACGAATTTTCTGATTCATTGTACTCACGAAATTGTGATGAAAGAGTCTCAATATTCACTTCTTATACCTTGCAAAACAACAAGTATAAATGAAGTTCGAAGAAATGCATTCTCTCTGGAATCGAATTTCTAGAATCTCTTTTGTGATTTTAACTTGACGCTTGCCTATTGTAAACCTGACCGTTGAGGCTTAAAGGCCAAAGAGCATCGATAGCCTGAGATAGGGTCTAGCGCAAACTGCAAATTAGTGAGAAATCAGCTCTTTGTGTCTGAGCCGTTTCATCGACTCGTAAAAAGGTTTTCTTTCCCGCTTGGAGAAGATGTTGTCACGGATAAAGCGGTCCATGACCTTGAAGTTTGCATCAGGAGGAGAGGAAATGCCACTGTGAAGTCTTTGATTCCTTTCTTGCCAAATGTTATAGATGATCCACTGAGCTACAAGTCTCCGAAGAGTGAGCGGAGAGCGACCAGCCGGAGATCTTTCCATTTTTCCCCTCTTCTTTATAGATTCTCCTGTTTTTGTTTTTTTAGAAAGGATTTTATAATGGCTGGTTAAGCTTATGTACGTAACTTAACTACAAAACGCTCTAATTTCTTAGTGATAATAACAGTACTATTAAAAAAATTGTGTCTGAGCCGTTTATCTTTCAAGGGTTGATTTCCCGTATACAGTGTTAACCTAAGAAATCCGTCATCCGCCGTTTTCGTTAATTTCGCAGATCTCTTTTGGGTTAGAGAGGAAGTAACGTGTGAATCACGGGATCAGACATTAGACCACTTAAGAAAAGAAAGAGATCAGCGTTTCTGAATTCTGATACATCCAGGTCACAGGATCACTGGATTCCTTATATGGGCTTCATTGGGCTGAAAAGGCCCATAGTTATTACTTTTTTCAAGCTTCAAAACCTTATGGCTTTAGTCGTTTACAATTTCTACGTAAACACTTATCACAGACATTCTTCGGGCAAAAGGGTAGTTACGGCCATTAAAGTGGCTATAAATGTATAAATGAATATCAATGTATATAATTTGGTTAAGTCTCGGTTTAGTTGGTACAATTGGTAGGGTTAAAGTTAATCCGGTCAGCTTGATTTATTTTGGTTTAGGTAAAGTGTATATACACTGTATATAGTATATTTTTGTTACAGTATATAACTATATATAAACATGATTATACAGTTCTTACACACAATCATGTGTATACGGTATTTTAACATGATTGTAACCTCTTTTTTTCTTTTGATGAATTAATAACATAAATCTTTTCAAGTGTTGATTCATTTTCTCTAATGTGGTATGAGAGCTACGTTGCTGCATAAGAAATTATCGATGTTACTTATTCCCATTGCCAATGAGAAAATGGAGTAAGTGATTGCTGCATTTGTTTGAATACATTGTAATATAGTGTAATTCCTCGCCGTCCATAAAATTAAGTCTTGGAGTTTTGATTTTTCTATGGGATTGTACATGTTACACATGTAAACCAAATGGTGATACAAATCTAAGCTATATGTGTATCTCTCAAAGTTGAAAAAAGTTTCCAAACCAGCCTAACAAAGGATGAAATTAAAAAGACCTGGCAACTATCAAAGGGTCTATATCCTTCACTATTTCTGGAAACTCACACTTGGATCCGAAATTTGCTTTTATAAGTCTGGTGAAAAAAAATTAACGTCTTTTCTTTTGTCTTGGCATTGAATCTTGCAGGCCCCATGGTTGATGTAACGTCAAGGGCACGGATGAGTACAGTTTCCACGTGTCAATTCCATACACTGAAATTGGATTCTTCTACTTAACCGATAATAATAATGGTACCGGTTATCATAATGTTCTGTTCAACATATGACATCTCTACACAGTTACTCGTCATTAATTTGTTAGTTAGAACTTGTAAATCAGTGTTTAGCGCACACATGTTAAGTGGAGTCCACTGAGCTAGAGAGTGACATTACAGTGTGGCCCCTACAGTGCTATTTGGCGAACACTTGGATAAGGGAACAAAAGTGTCGGTGGTCACAATATTTCCATTTTTGTTTTAATGAAAATGTTCAGAATTTTTTTACGTGAATACTGAATATACGAATTCAGTGTAATATTGGTAACACAGATACTTCTTTATCCTTCTATGAATTTCTTAAAAAATAGGTATACTGTCCTCTCATTTTATAGAGCCGTTACTATATTTTACCTCTTTTCGTATTACCAAAACTAGTGAATTCGATTCACTCTAATCAAAATAAGTTCTGTAGATGCTGAAAAAGGAGAAATATAGTAGTCCCCACTAAAAAACTAATAGGAGGCCTTTAGCTTTTGGCGCACCGGTTATCATCAAAGAAATATAAAGTGTTATTTGTATAAATTTGAAAAAATTTGTAGGTTGGATTTTTTTTAGTTTAATTGTGAACCTTGGCCCTTGAATTTAGATAAAATTATACTACTCAACACTATTCTAAATTGTCCTATGAACTAGTGACATAAATCAAATTTAACCTAATAAGTTATTTTTTTTTTTTAAAAAAGTGAACACTCAATAGTGATGTGTTGTGAACGAGTTTTAAACTTGGAACAGCTCATCTCGAGATTCAAGATGAAATCAATATTTGAGACGACTTTACAATGCATAAGCCTCTCTACTGACAATCCCTTATTACATTTAGTAAATTAATTGAATAGATAAATAATTTCAGAAGAAAAAGTAATTGAATATGTCCAACTGGAATCATAACTTAGATTAAATATTCGAACTCAGCTTGTAAAGGATAAGAATCCACCTTGACTTCATCGAAATGAAAGATTCCCTGATATAAAGGAGCGGTTTAGCCGCTGTATCGACAATAATGAACATTTCAGATAATTACAACTCAACCCGTTAACGTTTTTTACTTTAGCTATCACACCCCATATATCACAGTTGTTACAGCCGCCCCCTTTGTATTAACAACAAAACAAGCAGATTTTTTCATAGGGTCCACTCATACACTCATAGAGACCAAAAAACAAAACTTGGTGATTGGTTTAGCTAACGAAAACACCCTTCTAGATGAGATAAACCACCCAAAATGCCATCCACTTTAAATCTCCAACAAACTTATTTATTGTCTCATAGGCACTGTGTACGGCGTAGTGTAAGTCATCTAGTATTAGTAACAAGTGTGGTTTTTAGATTTCTTACCCAGATTATC